CATGCACAAACCTTCTTTCTGATCTCTGGGGCATTTTCACTTGCCTCGGGGTCTCTTTTGAACTCGCAAAAACAGCTACTCGTAGATTTTCATTACAGCGTGGCTTGATCTGTTTCAAGTCACTGCACCCACTCAAAACTAAGCCTATTGTTTCGATTATGCTTCCACAAGTCAAAAATGCATTAGGATAGATCGGCCTACGTACAATACACCGCACACATTTTAAAAGGTTTTAATTGATTGAATTTACAGGGGGAAAATGTGCCCAAGTGCCATGGTTGACCGCCTACGGTGGTATTTGATTATCAAGTGTAAATGTTATAATTGGTCTGTAGCATAATAATATTTTCTACTATTCATCACGTTCCTGCTATGTGTTGTAAAAGGAAGTGTTTGTTGGTACCCCAAAGGGGTAAAGTGTAATCGAGTGTGGCAATGCATAAAAAGTGTTCTCCGTGAAGAAAAGGAACATAGCTGCAAGGCCTGAATTACTAGTATAAACTTGAGCAAGCAGGCAGTGACCTCAGAAAATGCCTGTGCCTGTACTCGCTTTTGAACTTTTGAAAATGAACGGTCTCACATGATGTATTTATCCTTTCAAACCGTAGTATTTTTACAGCATTCAGTTTCAGCTATAAATTATTCTCCTTACACTAGTAAATTAGAATATACTGCACTGAGCTTACCCATAATTGCCTGTCTTCATAATCATTAAACTAGGAAAATGATATCACGAAACATTAATAAATTATATGTTGTTGATAGTGAAATAGAATGAAAGAGTAAATAAACTGTAAACATATATTATGTATATATGTACTGGAATGAGCCCTTTATTTATTTTTGCTGTAGCAGTTTCAACTCGAAGATACTCGTTTTTATAACCAGGTTCTTGAAAAATAAGGAGTTCCTAGTACTGGGTACATGAAAAAAGCTCTCAGAAAAAGAAAAAGTTTTAGGAAAAATGCTGTCAGAATTTTTTATCCTGAGCATCATTTTTGATATTTTGAAATAAGATTTATATGAATTATGTTTTTGGAAAGCTGTGAATTCATTGAATTAATAATGATTCCTGGGTTATTCCAATAAGGGCAGCTGTTGGAACACATTTGGAATTCAGATAAATTGAATAAACATTGAACTAATTGCTTGCACAAATGGCTGTAGATTGACTTTTGATCTTTAAGTGTCACCAAGATCGTAATTGGATCTGGCCTAAATTTGATTTTCGATCCCAAATGGGTTAAGGTGACATTGTTATTGTATAATTGCATCCTGAGTGAAAATACGTCGAGGGGTATTACTAGATGATAATCTAGGCTTAATTTCTGTAAAAACTAATTTATGAATAAGCTTTCAAAGAGGATTTTGATATTACTAATAGACTGTTCTCAGTGTTTTTCTGACCCCAATTTGAAACCCACAAGTGAGTGGTGAAATGTGCGTAGGTGTTATCACTTGATATTAATAGAATTCTAGAATCATAATTAAATCATTCTGTTTTATTTGATTTAGCCATTGTTATATGTTACTAACAAAAGCGTGCATGAATATGCTACCCTTTTGCTAGGGCACTAAAAAACCTTTTAATGTTACTATTATATATTAAGAATTGCATTAGCTGGCGTGATCTGGCAGTTTGGATTATTAATGAGGGCAGTGATTGGAATAGTATCCTCTTACGTAATTTGGGAATAAATTTTATGGAACATATGAAGATGATTATTCTGTAGAAAACAGAAAATACAATATTGTATATATATGTAGTGTTTTAAAAACCTTTGTCTGGACATCAAATGTCCATCAGAAGATTATTGTCATATAAATACTAGTTGAAAAAAAAAAAAAAAGAATCGGTATATGATATTGTTTGTGCTTTCATCACCTTAGAATCGAAAGTAATTTTTTGTTATAAAATATTGATTCATAGTTATGATATATGTCTGTCTGTATGCCAAAAAATTATAAATAAATAAAATCAGTCTGGAAAAGGGTAACTTTGATCAGTGAACCGAGTTTGTCACAAATGACTTCAGTGTCAGTGCGATGTGGGAACGACACCAATCCATATACAGTTACGACAATAGATTTTATTGCTGTTGATGTTTGTTTTTTGGTTTCATTTCAAGTTGAGCACACATTTATAGATTTCTTTCATTCAGTGGGAAATATTATGAACACCTGCTAAAATACTCAGTCAGTGTTTTTTTTGGATAAACTGATGAAATCTATACAAAAAGCTTTTTATCAATATTCATATTTACAATGAAGTGGGCTCCTGATGCCGGCTTTTATTTCACTCACATAACAACAACATTTCCTTTAACTCAGTGAACCTGGGGTAGTCTTACTTGTGTGTATATTCCATTATGGGTTTTGATACTGTTATATTGGCTGTAGATAAAATGTTGTTAGTAAGGTCGAAGGTAGCTGCACATTTTTCCTTTTTGTACATATAGTGGTCACTTGCGTCTAACATGCCATTGTCGCCATGCACTTTCAGTGTTATAATGATAAATGGAAAACTATACAACCTTCTTGTCTTCAAACTAACAGAACTGATGTATATTCATAAAATACAAGTCTAGGCACTTAAAATTGTTCTGTTGACATTTTCCCCCATCTCAACAATTTTGTTAGTTGATCAAATAAAAATGATAGTAAATTGGTTATTTTGTATTATGTAAAAAATGTGTTGAAAATGAACATTTTTTCTTGCTTTATGTCTGTTCATTTGACAGCTTTGTTGTCTTAATTGTTCAAATTAGCTGTTGTTAAAACTCAAAATAGTAAGAATAACAATTTATTAAGTTCGATTGCCTGTTGAGGTTGAACAGCATTAAAAGAAAATATATGTACTCAATAGGTAAAATTAAATTGAGCATGACCTTAAATTTTAAAACTGAATTGTTTGCAATTCACTTTGGCACAAAGGGACTTAAAATGGCTTGATATTAATGAATATTTTGTGCAAAATGAGATGATGTGTTTGATGGAGCAAGTAATTGGATGAATTTGTAATTCCTATTGAGATACCTATTAAGTAAGTCCCATTGAAATTGCAGCCATTGTCAAGTGCCAAAACAATTAAGTTCCAATCAGTAATTAGTTTCCTTGATTTCCTCCATCAAATTACATGGAAAATCACACATGAAATAATGTAGAGATTGCATCTGATGCTTGCGGAACAGACTTAAATAATATCTAGAATTTGGCTTTATGTCAATTTTAAGATAGAGAGTAATTGTGATGTAATGAATTTCAAATTTATATTAATTAATATTACACAGTGTGATTAGGTCTGAGTGTTGATGGTTGCTTCATTGAAAGATTGATTCAGAAATTGTTTTCAAAAAAAAAAAAAAAAAAAAAAGAATGGAATTGATAATCTGTTAATCTGATTGCATTTAGCAATAGTCCCTGTGGAGTTTATGTGCAATAGCCAGGTCATCATTCTGAATGGTCCCTTAGTCTGTTGTTTTTGATATCATTAGTAACATACTGTAATGAGTGCATAGAGAAAGTGAAAATATGTACTCACCAGCTTGATTTATTTCACATAATAATTTATTTATTTATTTATTTATTTATTTATTTATTTATTTACTAAAGACTGGGTGGTGAGGACAGCGCTTTTGATATAGTTCACTAGTAGATTTACTGAAAACTAGCTGTTTTGCTGTTGCATTTTATAGATGGAGAATGCTGCAGCCATATATAGATCTGCAGCCCTGGAATCATAGAGAATCACTTCAAAATGTTGACTCCATTATTAGATCTTAACAGATTTTCTAGGAATGAGAACACCTGCCTCTGCATACTTTGTGGGTGGATGCATGGTTTCCATTATTGCATTACACAACGGGAACGTTTCAAAAACCTCAGAGTAGTCTTAGATTAGTATCGTCTTATTTCTTGAAGGGAGAATTTTTCCTTGGTACATTGGACATTTTATCCATCTAGAAAGCATTTACATTTAAAGATTTCTGCTTATTTCAAGAAAATTCTGATTATCCCCAAGAAGACCAACAAGGTTATTCTTATTAACTGTTATGCCTTTAATTCTTTGAATTTTGCCAACTGTTGACATTTACGATATTTTGACTTTGTTGAACCCTTTCTCCTTCTTTTCCATTTAAGTAGAGATTCTGAGTAATTGCTTTTGAAATAAATGTTGTTTTACAGTTTAGTGACGTGGTTCTCTGCTACCACAGTTAAAAAAATCTTTTAAGAGACTGGAGTTATCAGATTATTACTGAACACATTTTTTTTGCTAATTCTGTGATGATAATTAAAATGTTTCATTTGATTATAATGTAGAAACCATTGTTTTCTGCTTCATTTGCACAGTTTGCTTAGTGTATTGTTGTTTTAAATTGATCAAAACGAAGCCAAAGCTCTCTCTCTCTCGTTCCTTTTTTGCCAAAGGAATGTGTTAAGTTAAGATTTAAATATATGTGAAACTAGTTATAATGCTTATCAAAAAAGGAATAGACTTTGAATTTTCCATTTATTGAGTGATTAATACTAATTTGTAGGTCAAGTGCAAATTATAGAACAATAGAACAATTTATCGAACATATGTGACATGTCCTTTGCTCTGGAATGTGTATTTGACATGATCTATTCTTGCTCTTTGATCAGAATGACCTAAGCCTTTATTTATAGACCAGTTTCATTGATTTTAGATACACAATGTTGTAAATAAGTGGAGTTTGGATCCTTTATTTGCTGATGTCTTTGAGTGTAGAATTCTGAGGAAGTGGTCGTATTTGGATCCTGTGATAACTTGTAGAATAAATATGCATGAAAGAAATATAATAATTGTAATTATCTTTTTAATGGTGCATATTGTTTATATACCAGTAGATATTTACTTACACAAATTGCATTAAATTGAAAATTATTAACTAGTAGAATATGGACCATTTTTAATTTTCTTTTCCCTTCAATTAAACCATTTGATAGAACATTATATTCTTTTTTCAACTTTCTTCCAGACAGAAATTTCATCATCGCAAATGCACAGGTTGAACACAAGCCAATCATATTCTGCAATGATGGCTTCTGTGAGCTTACAGGCTTCTCCAGAGCAGAAGTCATGCAAAAATCAAGTGGTTGTGAATTTTTGCATGGGACACTTACAACACCGTGGTCAATACGGCAGGTTAAAGAGGCCTTAAGTGGGTCAGAAGAAAAGCAGATTGAGATTCTGTACTATAAGAAGGATGGTAAGATAGATAATAATTCAAACATTACTGTAGATGGCACTGTGCTCAAGACAGTATAAAATGAAGCTCTGAAGCAAACATCACTGTAGATGACACTTAATACTCAAGACACTACCAACTGAATCTCTAATTGATTTGATATATATTTTAGGTACCGTCTTTTTTGTTTTCTTTACTTAGTTTAAATAACTTGGCATAATTTGTAGGAATTCATATATTTAAGTTCTTTATAGGTTTCTGTTTGGTTTATAGGAACATCTTGATGTCTCAGAAAATGAAATTTCTTTACATGCTTATTTGGATAAATTTTATATTGGCTGTTTTATATTATGTATTGTTCTTGGCTTTGACCTTTGTGATATTGTGTGAAGGCCTTGAACATTTCTTTTTCTTTAGTATTAGTTTTTCAGTTTGTTTGTTTTTGTATGGTCGCATGCCATAACATTTTTGTGACTTACATTGTTTGACTCAGTTGTAGTTGCTATCTTACTAATTCTACATTTACACTACACAGCTTATTACTGTCTCATTCCTTTAGTTCTTTAGTTTGAATTTTTTAATTACAAAACCCTATACATTATCAATGATTGGGCATATCACATGTAAAACATGGTGGCTTCTTCTCACTGTACAAGATGTGTACATCCTGGTTCCTCATCAAATCTGTTGAGGCCAAGGGAACATTTACTATGAGTTTTTTTGACCTAGCCAATATCCAGTAGCTACTGTACACTATCTCCATGGGGGCTCTTGCTGAGTGCAATCATAGTAAATGAATGGGACCCCATTCCCAAAGACACCATCAGTCTTCCCAACTCTTTGGGGATTCTCCCTTAGTGCAATCAGGTTAACTGAGTGACATGCCTCCTCTTGTTTCCCACAGGTTTATTGTATTCTACTTTATGTCAGGAAGAGGCTTGTCATTCAATTAAGCTTATTGCAGTCAGTGAGAGTCCTTGTGGAGTTAACAGGGGCGGATCCAGAGTTATTTTCTGACAGGCTTCCAAATTATCTTCATTGATCAACCCTCAATTTTTGACCGTCTTCCGACAAAAAAAATTAGATACCCGTCAATGTAAACTTAAAAATCTGACCGTCTTCCGGAAGACCCAGAAGATGGCCTAAATCCGCCCCTGGTTAATGTGCATTAGCTAGGTAGACAAAATTTTTACTGAGAACTGTCCCAAAGCATCTCCCTCCCTCCCTCTGTCCTCTTCAAGATTGATTACCACTAAAAGACATAACTTCCCTTCCTTCATTATCGTAGACATTAACCTCAGATAAGAAGTCAAGTCTTAACTTTGCTGTCTGTATTATGGGTGGATACACAGTGATTTACAGACACTCAATATTGATGGAATATAGTTTTTAAATTACTGAGTGTCTGTACCATAAAATTTGTGACGTAAATCATGATGTATTTTAATACTAAATATAATGCCTTTTTGTTACCATTATTTAACGCACAGTATTTGGAGTTTTGCCTCAAGTATGTGTACCACCCATTTTATGTATGCCTACCTTTACAAACTGTGTCGCCTTCATTTCAAACCTCTCTTGGCAGGAGATCTCAACGAAGTGCATGTTTACACTGATGATGGTAGTAGCAGTGAACCTCGAGATACAGACCCACGTATGTTTGCTTTTTACCTTGTAGAGGTTTAGAATGCATTTTAGAGCCCATTCAATACAGATGATCCTCGGATCTACTGATCCACGGATCAAATATGGCAGACCCTACATGAAAGCAAGATTGCGTAATCCATGCTGGTCTCACCACCTCCACACGCACCATTATACAGATTAAATCCGAGGTTTAATTGCTAGGCACCTGTAGAGACAGCGCGTATGGTGGTGGGGAGACCATTGCAGGATTTAGCAGGCTGGCTTTCATGTAGGGTCCGCCATATTTGATCTGCGGATCAGTAGATCCAAGGATCATCTATTCTGAATGGGTTCTTACTCTAGATCTGTTGTGATGTCTTGACTTCATTAAGTGAATTTGACTGCTATGCTACTGTATCATGTACAGAAAAAAGTCATGTGTGGAGATATTTTGTTGTAATTTTCCAGGTAACAAGATACACTGTACAGGTATAGCACTGTCTCATTATGTTTCTCTTTTTTTCCTTTTCAACAGTTGAAAAATATTACAAGGGATATAAAGTATGTGATAATATTGAGAGTTACCCCGACCCCTCCTTAAATATTTACTGGTAAATTCATTTTTGTCAGCCTTGAATGGTTTTTCTTTAGTATTTTTGGACTCAAAACATCAGCCAAACAATTTCAATCTCTCTGAAAAGCAGTTCTTAAAAATTTGAGAAAATTCGCAAATAGCATCCTATTTTGTTAAACACATGATGATATAATTATAGTTTGTCATAATCTTATTCTTTGAGTGCTTCATTTTTTTGGTTTTTTTTAAAAACAATTTACCTGCAATAAACTTTATTTTGAAATAAAATTTTGAGGCAAATACGGTACATTGCTAATAGTCAATGAAACTTAATGCGAACTTTGCTATAAGGTTATTATCAGTGAAAGTATGTTTATTGATGCCATGATTGCTTTTATTCTTATAGCTGCTGTGATTTCTTTTGGCTGACTTGTGTTTGTCATGCATTCCCCATACTAACCTGTAACAATGTTAGTTTGTCTGTGAATTATTATAAGTGTGAAAATAAAACAAGATTAAATAGATTGACTGCATTTTGATAAAAAATTAAGGCCTGCAAATTTCTACAATGTTCCCTACATTTATATTCCATGAAAATTATGGAGGTTTTACTACATCAAGCTCTAATTCCTAATTGTATAATTTTTTATTTTCTCTTACTTATCTTACCAGAACGTAAATCAGGACCCTTATAAAATTCAATGGTTTGTTTAATTTCTCAATTGGTAGTATTTTAGCAGCCAAGCCAAATCTCAGTAGACAAATTCATCATAGATGAGTATGCTATACATACAACAATGCCAAGTGTTTTTGTCTTAGCCAAAATAAACTGTTTCATTATTTGGAAGACTATAACACGAGGCACAGTGTTCAAATAATATCTAAAATGATCATCTGGGATCTATTGTCTGTGCGAATTTTGTGTCTATTTTTGTTGTGAAACTGGCTCCTGATGTTTCAATCAGCCCCATATTTTGCCAACAAGGTGGCCATATTCTGCACCTTATGATATTTTCTAAGAAACAGTGTCTGGCCAAGAACAATCCAAGTTTTATTTGAGCAAAATGACCCATTCAATTGTCAGTTGTAGAAGAGGTCCTATGCAATTCATGGATGTATCACTATCATTGCTGTTGGAAGCAAAGCAGGACATTTTGTACAACAATGGGCAATGGCACCCAGATTTTCAGTGCATTGGCAGTACCAGAGCTCCAAATAGCAAAAACTACTACAGTAATATTATGACAATAAGAAAACACTATACAGATCCCCCCCTAAGAAATGGTTAAAAATGGATAGCTTTTTGCACAATCCCATATGCTCTCCCTGCTGTTGTTTCTTTTTTGATTAGAGGTACACTCCATGAGCAGGCCTGTAGCCAGGGGGGATTTGAGGGATACAAAAGAACCCCCCTCCCCTTTTTTGCTGGGAAAAGGTTTCCTCTGGATAAAGTTTTATCAAGGTTTTATGGTAAAAGGTCCATTTTTTTCAGAAAATGAACCCCCCTTTTAAAATTGCTGGCAATGGGCCTGATGAGATTTACCCACCAAAATAGACCTTCCCTGGAAAATAACCAATTTTCTTGTGCTATCAAAGCATTTATCTATCCCTCTCTGCACTTGGGTTCGACCTTTGATAAATTTAAATTATTAAGGGTGATTTTAGCTTAAAATGACTGGCCATTCATTGTAACCATTTCCCTATAAGCTCCAATGAAAATATCAACATCAGGAAGGGTCCAGAAAAAATTTTAGGGGGTTAAATCATTTTAAGATAAATGTAAGGTTTTAAAAGAAGTTGTGGATGGCAAAAATAAGCATTTTTGGGATTTTCAAACCCATGTAGTGTACCTTTAATTTACAAAATAATATGAAATAAGCCATGACTCTGACATCCCTGTATGTTTGAGTGCATATTCCAACACTAACTAGATATCATTCATCAGTGTTATACATGTATTACAAGTTATGTGCAGTGAGACCTCATCCATCTTGACAAACAATGAAAAAATCAATTTAATGCTGCACAGTGTTTTCTGTATTCCAGGATCCAAGTTTCTATGCAGCGTTCTGGTGGCGCCCGTTAAGAATGAAACCGGGGATGTTATTATGCTTATCCTCAACTATGAGGACATAACAGATGCGCCACTGAGGAGTGAGGTCCCAACATTAGACACGGACCAGAAGAATGGAAGGCGAAGTATGTCAGACATGGAGCCTCGCAGTAACAAAACAGTTGGTCTGAAAAATGTCCACCTCCCCCCCTCTCAAGTCATTGTATTTTTGTGGGGCTTTCAAACCTGCTAAGTCTTACAAAAGGGAAAATAATTTGCCTCCATCCTCCCCCCCCCTTGTCCACAACTGATAACATTCACTGAAAAGTGTCCTCAATATGCCTTTCCCTAAATTCTGTCCTGCTTTCAATTTCTAATCCCTAAATTCTGTCCTGCTTTCAATTTCCAAAATCAGATCTTGAAATTGTATTACAAAACCAGTGTGATATATCAATTAGCTTATTGCCCAAGTAGCTGTCTCTTTCTCAGTTAGTTTATTCTATTTTTAAGATGCAACCTTCAATGCAGATAAGTAAATCTCCTTAGAGAGTTTTAGATCAATACAAGATAGGCATCTTCCATTACATAACAGTTTTTTTTTAATTTCATAGTAAAGTATTTGCTTGAAGATGTTATCTTCCCACTGTTGCCTAAGACCACATTCACATCAAGAAGAGCCGAGGCTCAACAAGGCCGAAGCCTAAATATGGTGGACGTACATGAAAGAAAAACCGCCTAATCCTTAAAGGTCTCTCTGCCTTTCACACGCCTCCCCACGCAGCATCCCTGTGGGGGTACAGTAATTAAATCTTGACTCCATTGGGATGACGCGTGGGGAGGCGTGTGAGAGGCTGAGAGACCATTAAAGGATTAGGCGCTTTTCCTTTCGTGTAGGTCCGCCATATTTAGAACTCGGCTTTGTTGAGCCTCAACTCTTCTCGATGTGAATGCGGCTTAAGTTTATATAACAGATAGGTGTTAAAAAAGAAAGGTCCAAATGCACTCCATGGTGTATGGTAGGGGCTGGTGGGTGGGCAAAGTGATCAAGTGCCCCCCTGATTTTGGATCTGTCCCCTTCTTCTTTTCCCTCTCATCTCTGTAAAACAGTGTAACCAGCAAAGAGACCAAACCAAGCATTTTTTCATTTTCAAAACTTTTAGGTTAAATTGCCCATATCTGATATTTCCCTGTACAAAAATGTTATACAGGACTCAATTGGACTCTTATCATGCCTCCTCCCTTCCACAGTAAAATCCTGGATTCACCTGAGATACTGTAACTTTTAGATTACATACATGCACATTATGTTTTCAATCCCTCGTTACATGCTGCAAGGTATCTGAGTTGTAAGGAGGATAGAACTCTTGTTTTTGAATTATACATAAAGATCCACTCATGCACGCAAAGCACTTAAAATAAAGCTCTTTCTGCTCAATTCAGTGACTGGTATTGCATCTATTTACTATTGAGATGTTCTGCAGTCCTTGCAGACTTGTTGTTTTTGGCCAGGAATAGAAATGGGGTCCCTGTAAAAAGATTAGAATTGACTCTCACTTTCATAAAGAAAAAAAGAAATGCTTGTTATCCCAAATTGCATCCATGGTCCTCTGGGCTTTTAGACTCGTCTGTATTTCATCTCACATTTAAGGAACTGTGTTTGATGCTTAATATGCGTATAGATTTAAAGTACTACATGTATTTTGTCAAATATAACACATACATGTCAACAAATCCTTAATTAAAATTCAAAATTGTGCCAAAATGTAAAAAAAAGAGCATTTTCACAAAACCAGGACAGAAAATTCCAGTTATTCTTGATTTATAATATCGACTTATCATTACAATATCGTGATGATGTCAACTTATCATGTTTTTCAGATTTTTTTCAAAGACATAGGTGGCGCTTTAAATTCCCCCTTCCTGGACGCTCCCCAAGAAGAGCTCAAGATGACGAGCCCACAGACATTGAGAACCAACTGGAGGCTGAAAGCGTCCCCTTGAATCAAATTTCAGACAGCCGTTCAGACGGACCTCACGGTAACAGATACCATTTAACAGGTCTCAGTTTATCAAAAGACAGCAATTTAAACGAGAAGAATGACGGTCTCGGAACCTCAGGGCACAGGCGTGCGGCATCACTGGAGATTGTTGATGCCTCGTCGAAACTTTCTTTATCCAAACATGCAAAAAAGGCAGCAACAATAAGTGCTGGTAGGTCTCACCTCTGTTTATATATGTCTTTGGTAGTTTGTATGAAAGGCTTGTTAGAGAGGCCAAATAAAGATATGCTGCAATATTTGTATGTGGTAATTGCTCTTATAATGTGACCCATGGAAAAGAAATGGGATTTTTAAAATGCCTAGGTAATTGGTATGCAACAGCATATCTTAATTTGGTCTTAAAACCAATCTCTTTTGTCAAAATTAAGGCCAATAATGGTTGGTTTAATTAACATCATTGTTATTTCATTTTATTGTTTTTTATTTATTCATACCTCTTTATGAATTGCTTAATAAAAAAGAAGATTGTTACTTTATTTCCAGCATCACTTGGTCTGTTCATAGAACCATATGCTTTTACACACACCTTTTTTGATTGGGTTTATCTTGTCAAGTGTTGTCTTAAGACCTTTTCCCATTGTGATCTATATTTTAATGATTCAGCTGAACTGGTATGTTCTGAGTGATTGACAGCTTAATGACCTGGCTGTTATGTGATACAGATGCCTATATGGGGCCAATTTGCTTAATTATGGCAGAATAGAAGAATATCATGCTAGCAGGATCGTTCTGTTTCAGCGAGGATTCTGGCTAAGGTTCAGTCAGTGTAATCAGCTTAATTGCATGGCACGTTCCTTGCAAAACCATATGAACAACATCATGGACCATGAAATTTCCCACCTTCACCTAACTACTTAAATTATGAGGGGGTGTGTAAGATAATTAAAGTGATTACATTGACTGTGCCTGAGGGAGAATCCGCTGAGATAGTTCAATTCTGCTAGACAAGTATGATTACTTTGACTGGGTTCCCATCCGTAGATCGATCTAACAGGATCGGTCCATTTCCAAGGGGTTTCTTGCTAAATTGCTTTCGGCTTAAGTGGCTTAGATGTCTGGCACCCTTGCTTAAGCTGCTAAACGATAGTTAATTACCAACAATCAGCTTCAGTAGGCATGACAGATGTCTAAACCGCTTAAGTTAATTACAATTGAGCAAGAATCCCCTTGGAGATAGTTCGAGCCAGAGTTAGTATAATAGTCTCTGGGAATGGTCTCTTTTACTCTGAACACATCCTAATAAACTGCAGGATGTGACGATGTGGATAACTGAAGAAAGGGAGTTAAGTCCCCTGTAGTGTAATTAAATGGTAGAACTTCTTAAAGCACACAGGTTCACCTATTTTGCTGTTGTATAATCCTTGATTTTAAAAAGGCATATATGATGATAAGATCAGCTTTGTATGGTTAGAATATTATATTCAGAGAAAACCGCAGTTGCTTACTTAATCAAAGATACTTTAATCAATTATATTTTCCGTGATGATGATTTGATAGTGTTATCTGTCAAAATTAATTCCTGGGTTTCAAAGTTAAGTTGTGTTTATGTTGTGAGGCTTTAAAGTTAACAGAACTATTGAAAAACATAAATATTTTTAAAAGTATAGATGGAAGACATAAAAAGGATAGATAGGAAAGGGAATTATTCTGATTAACTGAATTTCTGAAAGAAAAGAATAAAAACTATCATGAAAGGGCTGGCAAAATTGAGTAATTATCACCAGACAGAGAATAATCCATCATTATAATAAACAGAGGTGTAAGGCGCAGATGTCTTTGGACCACTCCAATTGAATTCGAACAGCTGAAGACGAGATGAGTCAATTCCCTTGAAATGAAAAACATAATAACAGAAATGAAGAGCCTAAGAGAATAATGCAATTACGTTCCCTTTGATCTGTACCTGTAATGCACCTGGCTGTCTCCCAGTGGAATTTGGTGACTTTGAAAACTGTTTTAACAAAAAAATGTTTCGGAATTTAAGTTGCTAGGTAGTTGATGCTTGTATTTGTATCAGCCTCTCCCCTTGTCAAAATATAAAACCCCTTTTAATGTAATATATCAAGTTAAGCAGTTAATCAGGACAATAAAGAGATAGATAAGTTGTAGACAGAACATGGAGGTTTATGGTCAAGGAACTACTAAGTGCTTCTTACGATTTAATATAGATGCATTTTGGTTGAAACTCTTTTGAAAGCAGCCTGTAAACAAACCTCTATGGAGACCACGCTTTTCAAAAAGAAATATCTACATCAGTCTGTAATTGATACAAACCTTGGGAGATTGGGTAATTCCCATACCATTTACGTCATTATCGCAATAACCCCTTGAAATCTATTTATAAGCTACTTGCATGGCTTTTTAATATTTCATAACAATTACAGCAACAACTTGAATTTGATTAGAAATTGGACCTAAAGCCACTAATCTTTTAAATATTTAAAGGATAATTTGTACATCAGTGAAGACTTATTTGGTATTTGGCTTTAGGCAAGGAGGACTTCAGTTATTTGATAACAACCCAGAGGAAATTTATTATATATCACCAAATGTGCACCCCATTGGCATAAGTTTTGACCAAGCTTCATAATCAGGCCTACCCAACTACCAGACTCAGCACTGAATGATATGATCCCGAATTCACTGGTAGATCAGACCACACTACCCGTTTTCAAGGTGTGCATCAGTACGCGCTTCGATGTATCAGACACAACACCTCTCTTGCCTAGTACATGATGGGAAAGTAGTGATTTTGAGCAGGGTTTGAAGGTAGTGCATCTCATCTCTAAATTTGTTCCGGGGTATGATACTGTGAAATGCATTCTGACACACACCTTGAAAACGGGTAGTGTGGTCTGATCTACCGTTGAATTCGGGATCATTCGGTGCCGAGTCTAGTAGTTGGGTAGGCCTGATGATTTACATTCAGCAAGTTTGCATACTTTGTAGGAGGCCTGGGCTGATAATATACCTTCTCCTATATTCCTGAGTTTGTACATCTATTCTGAACAGTGTAATTTTAGATATTGTCATGGGCTCATTTCCTGTCTTTGAAAAATAGCATTAGGTGTGCAGAATTGAAAGATAATTTGACCTTGGCTAAATACGAAAACTGCAGAAAAAAACTGATTTCCTTAAGAAATGGGTGCAAAAGACTTCGAGGTTTCCAACTTCATAATACTCACAAACATGTATGAATTGTACATATTACAGATTTTTAATATTTCCTTTTTTGATTGGAAATAATATTCCATTGCTTAAAATATAGCTGAGTGTGTATCGTAATTTCTTGTAGTACTGTCTTAAACTGTTTATGATGGGCCTCCTTAAATTTGTGTTAGTTTTGAGGGCAAAAATTTCAGTCAACTTTGACTTAAGATAATCCACTAGTAGTCCAATAAAATGAAAACCTGTGCCTGTGTAATAAGAAGAGAGTGATTGCATATATTTCAATACTTCATGTAACAAATATGATAATTACTAATCACAAGCTGAAAATAATTTCATACCGTTAGCTTGCAGCCAACCTGGACGTGGACCGTTATCAGACTGTCAATGATAATAACCCAAATCCGTCTAATGAAGGCCATTTGTGTCCAGGTTGGCTGCAAGCTAACAGTATGAAATATTTTTGGCTTGTGTTTAACAATTAAAATATGTGATCCAACAACCAAGCTAATGAACATTTTTTGCTCGTTTACTTCATGTAGATGAACTACTGTGGATGAATCACAACTGAAGTAGACCTAATATTTAGTCTAAACGTTTAGACCGATTGCCTGGGAATTTTGTAAAACTGCATGACCACCCATGAGGCAAAAGCTGTCAGTATTGGAATATATTTAAAACTGCGAACTGTATACTGACATTTTAGGATTGTCTAGACATTGGTTACTGGTTAGAGAGTGATGATACAGCTGAACATGATATTTCAACGATAGGCATGTTGATGGAAATGCTTCTTCTTCTTTTTTTTTTTTTTTTTGGCACAGAAAATGAGAGAATATTGATGTCTAAAATGGTATTATCTAAATGAACAGAATAATTGAAGAATTGCCAAGATGTTAATATGCAAATTGTTCCTCACTACCACCCCTGCAAAACCCTGTTCTTGACTCAAAGTATCGTTCTTGAACAGTTGTAGAATTAACAGAACAGTTCATAAATTGTTCTATGAATTAAGTTCTAGAACACTTGTTCAGAAGAATACTAGAACCATTTTTAAGAACTAATCAAGAGCACTTGAAGAATTTCTGTAGTTCCAAAACCTTGTGCTACCTCATGCTCCCTGCAGTCAGTGACAGGGTTGAAGGCATATGTTTTCAAAATGGTTGTTGCTGATATACATTAAGAAAATATAAGTAACATCAAATAACTAAGTTAGTAATTATGTATAGGCACTGACAATTAACAATTAGTAGAAAAAGTACCAAGATTGTGACTCAGGTCCTGGTATGGGACATTTTGCCAGTAATTTGTCCCTTATGTTATTTAACACACTTTTTCAAATAGTCTATATGGCACTGACATTTGTTACAAAGGTATCTTTGAATGTAACATTTAACAGAACTCTATTTTTATAAATAAGAAGAAGTAAGAACTAATGCAAAGAAGTGACTTCCCTAACTAGCTTGGGATCCCTCTCAAAGTCGCATACATTTACGTGTTGACCAAATGTAAACACGCACATGTAACGTGCTCACAATGCCTGTGTTCGTTAGTGCATGATTTGTCGTCCACATACTAGAGGTCAGTACATTCACCATTGTAATTGCCAAGTTATGCGACCATTTTATGTGACCTTGACCTAGTATTTGTTTCCCTTTTCAGGTAGTCTTGATGACCTTAACCTAGGTAGAGTAGTTTGTCCTTGTCTCAGGTGCCATAGTTTTAGTTGATGTGGTTCACAGTTGGCATGCTGCATGTGATGATAATGTCGTTTATCACCACCTATAGAATGATGCGTTTGCTTTTGTTCTCACAGTCACAGCACAAGTTTATATGTTTGTTCTTAGGTTATTAATTACTTATTTGATCATAGGGGACATAGTCACCACTATTTTTTCTTAGATTTTGTCCCCAGGAAAATTGTTAATCAGGCTTTAAATTTTGTCTTTTTTCTCTCTGTCCTTGTCTGAATTTCTGTCTCTTTTGCATTTCTCTTAAATTGGTCTATTTGTTTTCTGAATGAAATATATATTATCTTATAATATAACAATTATTTATCCAGTTATTGAATGGATTAGTACATGGTTTCAAAGTGTTTTGGATATAGTTGATTATTATGTTATGCTATCTTATCAAAAGAGCTTAATTCAAAATAAGATATTGCCATGGTGTATATTTTAACTATGGTGTGTGTATTGACAAGGCATGTAGTCAGTGGATTTTATTTACTTTCTAGTGGGTTATGTCGAAAGTTGAAGATGGATACTTTATTTTTCAGTCTAGTTATAAGACATTTCACTTGGTATATTAAGTAATACTTCCATCAGCCTAATTAAGTGATAGCCACCACCTGGTATTAATAACTAGATAATTATTTTTAGAAAAAAATGATGGGCATACAAAGACTTAAATGTTTGTGAATTTATAGATGATTTTGGATATTTGAGTTCTTTTTATTTTATTTATTTTTTATCTGTGTGTGTTTTTTTATTTATTTTATTTATTTATTTATTTTTTTTTTGTGGAAGGTACCTATGTTTAAAACAAAAAAGAATGCAGTAGTTAATAAATAATAATATTAAGCAGTCCAATATGGGTTCAGAACATTTGGGGATTGTCTTAAGTTGTCAACTTTAAGAAGAAAATGATTGTAATAAGAGATTTCCTAACATTGCAAAAAGGATCCATATTGGACTTTAAGGTTTCACCCATTATCACTGATTTTAGAATTTACCAAAACTGTTTGATCTCCCAATCTCTCTGACACACTTGGATTAACACCTCGTATTTTGTCCTCCCTTTAATATAAATGTCAAACCCTAGTCTCGTTACCCTAGCAACCCTTGTTGTTTCAGGAAGATTTCTCGCTGTACCCAGTCATGTGTTTGACTCTCACCTCAGAGCACGATCAAATACATTTGACGCTTGTAAGTAATGTGCTGCCCCCTAGGAGCAGCACCTCTTAGGTTTTTGCGGGGCATAAAATAACAAAATCGCACTGCATCCGCATTCCTTTGTAGTTAGGTGGCACAATATATAATAGCCCAACTTTAACATCATCACAAGCACTGTAGGTAATTGAATGTTTTTTACCCTAATGCACTGCTGAAGTGGTAAAAGGGGGACTGTATAAGCGAGACCACACTTTTTTCTTCAAATTTCCATCATGTTTAGGACAATTCTGACAAAATTCCAACTACGTATTCTTAAAAGGGATGTTGGGAACACTCTTGATCATTTTTGTTGATCAATATCTTTTGATAAAATTAGGCCTTTTTCATGGTCACTCAATGGAAAAACCTTGAGCATAAACATTTTCAATTTAGAAATTATATTTGAAAAAAGTGGGAGATGAAGTTTTATGATATAACTAGTGTGGTCATGTGATTAAATATATATAAAATCTACCTTAAATTTAAATAATATAGTACTGTTTAGCACAGTATTGATTGAATTTATTAATGATGCTTGGGGATTTAACCTATTAACCATGCAACCAAAGCTATCTGCTTTTGTTTGTGCGTAAATGTGGACGCCTTGCAAGGCTACTGTAACATGAAGATCGTTTTAGTCTGTCATAATGTTTCTGTTTTTTACATTGACTAACCGTTTTCTGGTGGAGTTGTTGAGATATATGTCATGTTTTCCAGTTTGTACAGTATTTTTAAGCAGCCATTTTGCTTCTGTTTGTGTCGGATTTGAAATAATGATGATTATGATATTTTTCACAAAAATCCTTCAGCAATTAAGAGGTATAAAGTTACCAATGTATATACCATGCTGATTTGTTAAAGAAAAGACAAATGATCTGACATCTTTTGGCTGAAAAACATTAAAGAAAAGAAATAAAAATGACTGAACTTGGTGAACATTCTGTTTTGGTCAGGTCATATGATTTTGTTTCACCAACCAGTGGTGAAACAAATATCCTGGTGAAATAAACAACTGCATATACATTGTTGTTTTACATAAATTTGTTTTTCTTTACCGAAATCTTTCTGAACTGAAAAGAAAAAGAAACATGGAATATCTGATTCAATGAATCTTTGCAGATATGAATGATTTTTGTGAAGTTGGCTTTTTGTTCTGATTTACAATTCAGAATTGTTGTTTTTATTGACATTATGGCTATTATATACTAAATGTTACTAATTGCCGTATAGTCAACAGTGTTAGAATAGATTATAAGTTCAGTTGTTGGGTTTTAACATTTTATTTTTTGTCAATCTGTGAATGGTTTAGAACACTATTTGTAAAAGACTGACATGTTTAGAAGTGACTGTTACTGAATGAATGTATTTTTCTATGCTATCATATTTGTTTTAAATGATATTACATTTTAAACATTTAAAAGGTGCTTTTTGCACGCAAAAAAGATTAACCTCTTACTTACTTATTTTCCCCATAAACTATTTTCAAAGTCCATAACCCGTTGTATTGTAGGATTTTAATACAATTGCATGTTACTTAAAGAACCACGCAGGAATAGTAAAATTTACATAGGGCATGCTATTATTTCATAAAAAAGAGAAATCATTAAAGGTAGGTAAAATGGTTAAGTTGGTAATCTCATTTTCATAAGTGATATGTATTTTTTTCATGATATTTTCAGAATGGCCACATTTTCTTCTGCAGAGAGATAATTTCATGCACAATGTTGTCACAATAACTAATCATTTCTTTATTTGTGTTGCTTTGATTGTTCTTAGGCCCCAATCCCAAAGACACCATTGGCATGTAATTCAATTAAGCTGATTGCATTTAGCGAGAGTCCCTGCAGAGTTGGATTCATCTAGGTAGATCGATGGTGTCTATGGGAATAGGGTCTTAAATTAACCTTGAACATTTTCTTCTCTTTACACCATGCTTCCTCTGTGAAATTTTGGATTTCTGGGAAATAAAATAATTCCATATAGAATTAAAATATTATTTGTATATTACTTAATGTAAATATGTATAATACCAATATGAAAAAATTCTGTTACTGTTACAGAAGATGTGGTGGATCCAGGTCCCCCCCCCCCATCTCACCACAAGCAAATTTTTCAAAATATTAGTTGGTGCAATATGGGATGTTTTGTAATAATTCTGTCATTGTAGTTTTTGCCATTGGGAAGGATGAAAATTGAATCAGCTCCTTCAGTTTGGAAGGAAGGCATGGGAAGGGGGAAGGGGCGAGCATGGGGGAGGAGACGACCTCCTGGATTCACTTTTGCTGTTTCTTTGGAAACCATGATATAGCTTTCAAAATATACAGTAGGGTACATTACAGGTGTTTGTTTTTTACAAATAAATGTTAATATATAGTGAAATGCTGAACTGTTCAGTAAAAAAGTAGATGTTCAAAATCTGTGAGTAATTACTGAATCGGTATATTTTACAGCAACAGGAAATCACTTAAAAGAGAGCCTCCTAAATGCTGCGTCAAGCGACTCCGCCCTTGCACAGGTCAAAGCCAAAGCTTTCGCCAACAGTGTCAGTAGTATCGCCAACGAGGCCAAGAAACACCATGAGAAAGAAAGCATTAAATCATCAGGAATTTTCACTACTGGTCTTCACAGTGTCAAGCACAATATGTCAGAAAAGGTTGCACAGGTAAGTTGTTGTAGATTGTCAATTATTGTTCTTTACATTCCCGCATATTATGGCATTTATGAAGAGCATAACTAAAATAATAATGAATCAAATATGGTCCATGCTAACAACATTTAGACATATGTAAACTTGTCCTTTGGGACAGCCCAATGGTCCAAATTGGAGAATGGTGACTAGAAACTAAACAAATTTACCAATTTGCACTGCTCCATCATCAAGTTTACTGGCAGTCATACTGGCTAATCTGGAAGTTGCCAGCTGATAATGTAAAGTCCTCCCAGGTGAGAGATTTGATGAGGTAACTGTGGACCATGATATTTGTATTATAAACTTGACTGAGGACAGAATATGGAGTAGTATGGACATATACAGTGTATAGTATCACCTTGGTTTTCAAAACTTAAAACTTTCAATTTGCAGGAAGTTGGATTTAGATGCATTAAATTGTGAAATAGATTTATGATAATAATTATTATACTACTAACTATACTTAGCTAGTTTTTGTTATAGAATTTTCACCATCGTACTTGTTGCTACATGTATGTGACTGTCTTTGTCAATTAATCTTCGAAATTGACTTTTTGAAGAGATTAGTGTAAAAATGAATTAGCAAATGTTACAATATATGTCATGCTGACCTTTATGTACCTTTGCCCCCCCCTCCCCCCCATATAGAGTATTGACATTGGCCTAACTAGAATGCCTCTGAATATGTTTGATATCAACTTTCCTTGAACCTTAGCTTACCATACTTCAACAGCTTTTTATTGTTTAATGAACTGCTGTTTCATAACACACCAATCCAACTTGGAAAAAGTTGTCTTTTTTGCTATTTGAAGAAAACAAATAGGTATCTGTTTAATTGTTAAATATATTTCAAGAAGCTTCAGCATTTAATGTTTGAGATTAGTTTAGCTACATACTCTGTTATTTAGAATAAATTTTGGATTGATATGTTTTGATATTTTGTATTATGCAATGGGTCCTTCTGTGCTTTTAATACTAACAATACCCTTTCAATATTTATAACACAGCTTTTCATGGATCATATATAATACCTTTGCCTCATGATATTACTGATGTTAAAAAGTGGAACCCATTTTGTGTAATTTTGGGATTTCCTGTCTAATAATGTAGCTCTATAGCATTTCATGTTGTGAACCTTCCCATACATAAGGGTTTTGCCTTGAATGATGATTTTGATTTGATTTCTGAAGAATATGAACAGCAAAATGCACATGGAAATTGTGGTGTATGTAGACGTCATATATCAACAGTGCTTTCAGAAGTCTCATTTGGACTCTATATATATAATAGAAAGGATCTAAAAGAGCACGACATTCTGTGATAAAGAAAATGTTTGTACAAGTTCAAGCAGAAAATGTAAATGTTCACCTCAGTATGCCTTTGGTTATGATATAGACATTAAAAATCCTCTTGTTGGAAGGTTTATAGCATAATCAGTATGGTATTATACAGCACATACAATATATGGAGCATGGTACATTGTTCTATTCCCTGCTACTAACTTCCACTTGCAGTTATTACGAGAAAATACAGAAAATGTGAAAAAGGTTCAGGTCAGTAGAATATTGGAATTTCAGAGGACAAAAAGTATATCCTTACAGAGGTAATGCTTCCCAGCTTGGATCATGCAATCTAGGTGGCAGCAGAGGGATCAGTGTTACATTGGTGGCAGTGGTGGGATGACTATTACATTGTTGGCAGTGGTGGGACCACTGTTACATTGGTGGCAGTGGTGGGATCAATGTTTCATGGGTGGCAGTGGTGGGACCATTGTTACACTGGTGGCAGTGATGGGATCACTGTTATACTGTTGGCAGTGATGGGATGACTGTTACACTGGTGGCAGTGGTGAGATCACTGTTACATTGGTGGCATTGGTGGGACCACTGTTAAACTGGTGGCAGTGGTGGGACCATTGTTACACTGGTGGCAGTGGTGGGATCATTGCTATACTGGTGGCAGTGGTGGGATCACTGTTACACTGGTGGCAGTGGTGGGATCACTGTTACACTGGTGGCAGTGATGGGACCACTGTTATATTGGTTGCAGTGGTGGGACCACTGTTATACTGGTGGCAGTGGTGGGATCGCTGCAAACTCAATGACTACAGTGGTATCTCTTCAACCTAAGAGCTGTGGGATCATTGTCCAATTGGTTGCTGCATTGGGACCACTGTTACATGGTGGCAGTGGTGGCATCACTGTTACATTGGTTGTTACAATGGGATCAGTGCCACATTGGCGGCTGCAGTAGAAACACTATCTGATATGGTAGTGGTGGCATCACTGTTACATTGGTGGTTACACTAGGATTATTGTTATATTGGTGGCTGCAGTGGGATCATTGCTGACACCTATTGGCAACTATGGATTCTAAGCTGCACCTAGAAAGTTGTGGGGGCATGATCTCTGCAACAATAGTGGTAGTAGCTGGAGGACATTACCTTCTGAGGGATAGCATGCCAAATGTTTTCTTATTTAATTCAAAACAAAACTTCTTTTTTGCTTTTTCAAATTCTTTTTTGGTATTTTCAAATTAAATTTTCAGGCTTATTTTGATAAGTAACATTCAAATCAATTTGACAGGCATATCCAATTCTTGATTACTTGTTTTCTAAATAAATTGGTTGATTTTATCACTTATTGTGGAGAATGTTCAGGGCACTTTTATAAGAGCTGCATATTTTTTTTCAGTTACAGGAGTGCATTTTGTTTTTATTTAGATTTGCAAATGTGCTTTGCAGCCTGATAATCCAAAAAGTGGTTGGGTGTTTTCAACATTTGTTGCATGTCTTTGTTTGTTTTTCTGTGTTTATTTGAATGTTTGTGTTGTCTGTTGTCTTGTAAACATTTCAGATTATACTGAACAAGTATAATAGCAAGAAGCCCAATTCATTAATAGCTTAGATTTTTACTTTTAATGTATAGATTAAACATCTTTATGAGGGCTTCATTGATTTATTTATCACTCTGCAATGTATTATTATTATTAATGAAAATAAGAATTGTATGGAAATGTAACTTCTGTAGTGATAAGGCTTGAATCTTTCCTATAATGCTAGAAGCAAATATGACACGAAGGCCATGGGGAAATGAAGGATGTATTGAATTACTTTCATCCTCATTCAAAATTTATTAATTATATTCAGGCCTATAGCTATCAGTTTCCAAGGGGGGGGGGGGAGTATTTTGATTCAGACAGGACTCTTACATGGTCTTAAGGGCAGCTGGCTTGAAACTGCCACCCCTAATCCAGACCTCATTTTTGCTATCATGAGCCATAGATTTGGGAGCACAAATACCATAACTAACGACTTCAACCTCAATTTTACTGCACAAAGGTAAAACTACTTCATAAATGAAAATTATCAAACGCAAGCCGAAAATCTTTCATACCATTAGCTAACGGCCAACCTGGATGTAGGCCTTCATCAGACTGATGTTACTTGAAATTCAAATGTAAATTAAATAAAATGAAAAACATATTTTAATATTTCGATATTAAGCTGTTGACTGAAGAAAAATATCTTTCATTCTTATAACATATAATACTTCTCTGAAATTCTTCTGCGATCTAAATTAAATAGATGTTCAATTTAATGATTTTAGGTGATATCATGGTGAGATTTGGCTAAAAGGAGTTGTCATTTTTTATTCATTTAATTAATTATATATTCATTAGATAAGGAAAATGAAAATAAGAAAAGTAAAAGTGAATATTTTTTTAACTGTCAATTTCAGGTATTGTCACTTGGTGCAGATGTGCTACCTGAGTATAAATTGCAGTCTCCAAAGGTGCATCCCTGCACTATTCTTCATTACTCGCCATTCAAGGCCGTATGGGATTGGCTGATTTTAATCCTTGTGATATATACGGCGATTTTCACGCCCTACGTTGCTGCCTTCATGTTGAGCGAAAACAATCCAGCAAAGAAAGAAAAGGTCACAAGTCCGAAACTTATGGACCCACTCAATGTAATTGAACTTATGGTGGATGTGATGTTTATTATTGACATTTTGATCAACTTTCGGACTACGTATGTGAATAAGAATGATGAAGTAGTGAGTCATCCAGGCAAGATCGCAGTTCATTATTTCAAAGGATGGTTCCTAATTGATGTTGTGGCAGCCATTCCATTTGACCTCCTTTTATTTGGGTCAAACTCGGATGAGGTAGGTTTCTTCAATTTCATTGCCATTATAAAATGTTTTCAAAAAAATTTGCAACTTTTTATGTCTGGTTAATTTCAGGTCAAAAAAAAAAAAAAAAAACTGTACAGGTTGCTACATTTTTTCACTGTAGGTGAATGTTTGATGGACTTAAAAAATTTTTGAGATAAGATTTCCGAAAATAGTTATTTGTTATTATTTTTGACCAGAATCATTTCGAAATAACATTTCTACAAATGGCTATTAATTTGTCTGTCATGTTTATAATATTATGTCAGATTGAGAAATTTAGCCATTCAGAGGTATATGGCCAATTTCTATCGAAGGAAATGAAATGCTGAAATACTTCGTATTTTTTACCCTGTATGTTTCTGCTATTCCTGTTAATCTTTGAATAGAGAGTGCATTAACCTGTAGTCATGATTCATATGACATTTACAAGGGGAGTCTCTTTACAATTTAAAGATTACTTTAAAAAAAAAAGCTATTTTTCTCATCGTTTCTGCATTTTACTGTGCACAGATCAATACTCAAAGCAGTGGAGTTGAGAAATATATCCCAGTTACTTCTAGTAGTAATTGCCTCCCAGATATTAGATATTATTGTGTTGGACCTTATGATTAAAGTAACATTTATTTATATATATTTGCCAATGTGCACTACTTTGTTAAATGAATCACAACTACTATGAGTTTCTTTTAAATTGATAACCTATAGCTACTGTATATGTGTTAAGACTTGACTTTAACATTGACCTTCACCTTAAACAGTGACCTTGGACCCTAAAATGACTCCTGAACCTTATATGTGCTTTTATTGCATGTTTAGCATATTGTTGAAGTTACTGTAAATGAGGTAAACTCAGGATTGAATGATGTTGATTTGATATTTGTGTGCATTATATAAGCTTGAATTGCTTTTTGGATCTTATCGCTATGAAAATCTGTAACAGCCAGGGCAATATTCTTCAAAATTTTCCAGCAATGAGTTGCATTTTATAGGCATTTTTATACTTGATAACTGATCCCTTACGAAAAAGCTAATATAAGATCCTATAAGATCGTATAGGATTCTATAGGAAATTGGCCCCATTTCCCATAGGATCCTATAGGATCTTTAAGGATCCTATAGTACTTTTTCATTAGGAATGGATTATAATATTTTGATGTGTAAAATTTTAAAACAGTTTAGCCAGAAAATGAATGACCTATTCAGTGGAAATTGTGCTATATAGTTTTGCCCATTATATAATTATCATTATGCAGCCTTGCACTTTGCATTACTCAATATCATGTCTTTATAATTTCTGGCCCTACTGTATTTTCTAAACAGAAAACAGTTGACTAAAATTGCCTGTAGCTATAGTATGTTCTGAACTGAATTAGAATTGTACCTTTAGTATATACCAAAATGAGTTAGAGATGTGTGTATATCTTTTAGTATGTACCAAACTAAATTAGAATTGTGTGTACCTTTAGTATGTTTGAAACTGAATTAGAATTGTGTGTACCTTTAGTATGAACTGACTTTCCTATCATCTGTTCTTTCCCATGGTTGCAGTATAGTGACCCAGTTTATTCTGATGATACTCAGGTACTAGTACTAATAATACTGGCATGGAATGGGTGCTCTCAGGTCCTGGACTGGTCTTTTATTATTTTTTTGAAAAGAAGAATACAAATACTTTTAATTTAAAAACAATTTTATGTTCAATCTTATCTCTTAGAGAAAAGAAATGTCAACAATCATAAAGGGATTTTAAGCTTCTGTGTAGCGACATTAAAGTTCATTTGTCAAATCATTGTAATGTCACTACAATGAATTCTTCAGGACCATATTTTAAGAGATCAGTCCTGGTATTTGAGGAGGGGTATAAAGAAGCAAATTCATATTCAGAGTAAGGGTGCATTTACAACCAAAGCTGGTCTACAGACTAACAGATCCACAGATCAAACATGGCCAATCCAATATATTGAAAGGTTGCCACATACTCCCTGCTGGGAACCTATTCAGTGTCTGTTAGGGGATTATGTGGCAAGCTTTTAAGTGGGTCAGCCATATTTGATAAGCCTGCAGATCAACTGGTTGTGAATGTGGCCTTCATGGGTTGCAATATGACATAAGCCTCTGTATACTTGGCTCTCTTCAAAAAGGATGAAAAAGGTACTGATCTACAAAACGATGATGACATGTAACAACTCCAAGAAATACCATATTTGAAATTTTAGTCTGTCCCTGGGTATCTGTGTTTTCATGGTCAGTTATTGCAAGTGAAATCTGATCACTGTTGCTTCATAGAAGAATAATTATAAACAGCAATTTTTTGACAAAAAAGAAATTAAACATGAACATTGTCAGTACTTTTTTTCTTTCTATTATAAATGTTTGGAGACTTCTCTAATGCAGAAGAATCCTAACATTTTCACCTGTCACCCTGAGTTTCACCTTTTTTTTCATAATGATACAACTGTGATTATACAAAATAACTTTCTTTGAATTTAGGTTTCAAAGTTTGAGAATATTTTAAATCTTGTTCATTTCCACAAATTCATAGCATTTTATTTGAACAGTGCATGTAGCAACTTTAAGATACTTTGACAAAGGATCATTGTGAAAAAGAATCTTGCATGCCATTATTTGTAGCCACTTAGTTCCTGTTTTTAGCTTTAGAATTTTCATTTTTCAGCTTTTCATGACAATGGTTATAAGAATTTGCCTAAAATTCTGTATTGAACTGTACATCTGTGCTTTCAAAAAGTCCATTTGGCCATGGGTTTAATATTAATTTTATATATTTTGGCAAAAGAGTTTGTGATTGATAAGATTGAATTAGTTGAAATATTTTATAGCTTAGGCATAATTTGAATAGGTTAATATATCAACACATACTTTTATCAAATACTGTATTTTGGCTTCTGATATATATATATTGAGGCTTTTCACTAACTCCCATTCATCACAGATATATTCTCTTTTACTTAATTGAATTCTTTTTAGTTAAGTTGTACTTATTTGCACAATTGCAAATCACCTGTTTTCTAATTATTACATGATTATGCCTAATTACTATTATTATAATGATAGTATGAAATATGGTAATTTCTCACAAACTGTAAATGCTTATAACTCATCCCAAACATTGTGTAATATAAAATCGAAATTTACTATCATGTTTGTTTGGTAACAAGCATTTTGTAATATTAAAATTTGCAATTTCTGTTAGAAAAATATTTTGTGAATTTTACTCAGCTGTTCTTATGATATATGCTATATAAATTTGAAGTTAAAGTTAAGCTTTGTGTTTTGTTGATTTAGAGTGAGAAATTACCATAGGCTACATTTTTAACACATTTGTTTGATATTAATGATACGCTGCTTGTAGAATGCATTAGTTTGATACAATATATACACATTTTATTTTCACCAGAAAGCATCTTTTATATTTATTCACCTTATAATTGATTTATATATTGTTTATAAATGCAGACTTTTTGCATTATCATGTAAAAAATAGTAAGTAGCATTTTTGTAGTATCTTCAAATTTTAGACATTATTTGACAAATAACTTAGAGTATATAGTCAGTGTCATGTTGGTGCCAAAAGAGCATTGATATCTTTCTGGTGAAATATTAAATCAGGGTTGTTTCACATTCCAATTAATCCTTAATTTTTCCTTCCTTTGTAGGACTCTAAGGTAGTGTATTGCCATACTAACCTCACCCACCACCAGGGTATTATTGCCATGGTGATAAGTATCAAGACAGGCCAAATGCAAGAATCAGTATTACGACGTATATGCATATGTATATGGATTTAATGTTTTAGACTAACCTCGAAAAATGAATCTGTATCCAATGTTGTTTTAAATGAAGCAAGAATTTGTTTTTGCTTTGCATAGAAAAGTTTGATATTACTTAGCTTACATGCACAGTAGAAAATATTCTGGTCAGTTTGAAAGATGCATATATAATTTGAATCAAAAGTGAAAAAAAAAGGCAATCTAAAAATTTTTATCAGAAAGTTTGCCAGAAGATTCCCAACAGTTGGCACTCTGCTCTTGTTGCTTTCAGCTAGGCATGTCTTGTATATTTGTCATTAGTTTTATAGATGTTTGATGTAGATGTTGTTTGAAGAAGCTAGACCTTAAATATGCAAATATATAGTTGCCAAGTGTCTGAAACTTAAACAAATTCAGAAATAATTTTTATGATGAGACTTGCATTAATATTTGATACCCGTGGAATTTCATCCAGACATTAAATATTTTCCCTCTTTTTTTAAGTCTTTCATCTCTCTGATTTGACTCCCCTTTAAGGATTTTAACCTCTTCTGCCCATGAAAATAGAAAAAAAGAATAAATTAAATATAATAATAAAATTTGCCTCACAGTTAAATTTCTTAATATTGGCAACTAAACAAGAATATCTTTGCTATAATAAGGAGCTAGCCCATGTGTCTTTTATGTACAATATACAGAGCAATCATCGGGGGTTTGCCAACACTGTTGTTGTCTTAATGTGAATAGCTATTGTTTATAGTTTTTAATTATAAACAATAATATGACAATGCATGCAAGATCACCCGTAGTAGAATCGTGCAGGTTACAAATATCATATGGTTATTTCTCTCACATAGATGAAATACCTTGCATGCCAAGAAGTGTTTTTGAGTAGTACACATAGATCATTTCAAATATTAGATTTAATTCATATTTAATAATCAATTAATTTAATATTTATTTATTTATTTATTGAGGGTATAAGATTTGTGTCAGAATATTTTTTGAAAATTATTTATTTTTATTTTAGAATTTTGAAAATATTCATTTTAGTAATCAAGAAATGTTAAATCTTCAATCTCTGTGTCTGCATGCATGTGTCAATGTGTGTGTTTGTTCACCGGAATAAAAAAGGTGATTGATATTTGAGAATAGTAACCGTGAATGCTTTAAGTTGGCAACCCCACAGTAGCTTGACAGTGTATGCTTTTTTTGCCTGTCGATGTTACAAAAATCATGATTTTGACTCCAATGACAGTATATTTATGTTGAGTGTTGCAATTAAATGTACGATTATTTGTTTTATTTTAAGGACATTTTATGTGTTTTGTGCATGTTGTGCAATATTTCATTTCATAAAAACTTTCATTTCAGTAATTTTTGTCTGTTGCTGTGTTTTCTTCAATTTTAGTAGAAACAGTCATAGCTGCATGTAGCGTAATATGATCGTTGTACCTAGATCAGTATACAAGCACATATACATGCACAAATATACATGTACATATGCACTCGTGCTTGTACCTCTACATTACCATGAAGATACCATGGTTGTAATTATATGTAATGCTTTCTAATGTATCTTTAGAGCTCTGTTGTTTTTGATCATATATTCAATTTGTTTGAAATTTTTAATTTAAATATGTAAAATGGTTTAGTTTCTGTATCATACTATCTGTGCAGCAAACTATACAATGCTGCTGCTTCAAAAGATAACCTTACTTTTTAGTGACTTTATTATTTTGAAAGTACACATTATCAGAATATTTGGGCTTCTTAAAAATTTTAAGGCTGTGTTCAGAACAGTGGACTAACTAGTTGGCGGTCAGTTATGGCCGACCCACTTGAATACTTCCCACAGGGAATCTGTTCAGTGTCTATTAGCAGAGTAGACGGCAAGCTTTTTAGTGGGTTGCCATATTTGACCCGCGGACTAGTAAGTCTGCTGTTCTGAATGCAGCCTTATACTCTGGGTAATTATATTAAAGCATTAACAGAATAGAAAAAAAATATTCAAATGTTTGATGAAAAGGCAATTTCGACATAAGAACCAGCAGCATGTGGTAAATTACCAGAAAGTGGAAGAAAGGAAAAACATTACACACACAAAAAAGAAATTAGACTCAAATTTAAAATTAACTGCAATTGAAGATTAAATCAGTTTCCTGCAGTTTGAGTTGATACCTTGGTGAATGTGTCTTTTGGAAGCCCAAGCAGACTATAACATTCTGTCATAAAAAGGAAAAAGCAAAAAATAAAAATAAAAATAAAAAAATATATAATAATAACAATAAATAAATATATAAATAAAAATGAAATTACAAAAGAACAAATACAAACAAAAAAACATAGCTGACACTACTATTTGCTTATTGTTAATGGTTGACCATATTCCGTTTGTACATTTTCAGACCACGACTCTAATTGGACTATTGAAAACTGCCCGTCTCCTGCGTTTGGTGCGTGTGGCAAGAAAACTTGATCGGTACTCCGAATACGGTGCTGCAGTTCTGTTATTGCTCATGGCAATATTTGCGCTCATAGCCCATTGGTTGGCGTGTATATGGTATGCCATTGGGAATATGGAGAGGGGTGGACTGAAAGAAAAAATTGGTTGGCTTGATGAATTGGCCAAACAAACTCACCAGTATTATACGAATGAGACAGGAAGTGGACCTTCGAGTAAATCAAAATATATCACTGCCCTCTATTTCACATTCAGCAGTCTTACAAGTGTTGGTTTTGGAAATGTATCGCCTAACACAAATTCGGAGAAAATTTTCTCAATATGTGTGATGCTTATAGGATGTAAGTATTATTGATTCATATTATTTTCAATTTATGAATTTAGAAGCAGTTACTTTTTTTTCTCAGTTTTCCATATTGTCTTGCAAAATTTTACATTGATGGCATTAATTTTTTTTAAAATTTTATAGTACACTGTTTGCTGATAAATTCCTACAAAGTATGGATTTGCTTTAATCTGTTCTAGAATAAATCACTTGCAAACTTCCAGCTATGGCTGCTATGCACATCAATTTGAAGTGTATTATATAGTTAGCAGCAACAACTGTTACTATTATAATTACAATGCAAAGCTGAAAGTTGGAATCTGGGCGAAAGCCTTAAATAACTGTATATGTATATTGATTGATTGGATGTATCTGGTTAAAATATGTCATCTTTTTTTTCTCCTGTCTTAAATAGTGTGTAATTTTCCATTCTCTTCCCCTAGCTCTCATGTATGCCAGTATCTTCGGTAATGTCTCTGCCATCATCCAGCGGCTGTATTCTGGCACAGCGCGATACCACACCCAAATGCTCAGAATCAAAGAATTTATACGATTTCACCAAATTCCAAATCCTCTCCGGCAGCGGTTAGAAGAATATTTTCAGCATGCCTGGTCTTATACAAATGGAATAGACATGAATATGGTAAATTCAATAATAATTTACTAAATAACACATACAAAAAAAGAAGAAAGGAAAAAGACTATATAATATTCAAAACATTTTATTGATTAAGAAATCATAGTCCTAGTCGTTACTTTATTCATATTTATGGTCAATGGGGTTTGAAACATTGTATTTTACTTACAACTTCAACAGTAACAGTATCTCTTTTGTAAATCAGTGTCACTTTGTCCTTGGCATAATCTTGATATGACCTTGACCTTCAGGTTCTCAAGGGCTTTCCAGAATGCCTCCAAGCAGACATATGCCTCCATCTTAATAGGAATCTACTCAATAATTGTCCGGCATTCAAAGGTGGACATTATTTAAAAGCACAAGCTATTTCAGTTGTGCATAAGGCATTTATTTTGCTAGGTGTTGAAAAAAGATCAGTATTGATTAATATTTGTTTCAAGATGAGAATTGGAATTTTAAAAAATTTTAAATATGAAGAACATTGATATGATATGTTTTTTGAAATAAGTATATTTAATCAAAATTAAGCAATTCACAGTTATCCCCCCATTGAAAAGAAAGTAATTACCCTATACATCCATTTCAGACTCTAGTCCGGGGTGCCTACGAGCTCTGTCCATGAGGTTCAAGACCACTCACGTCCCCCCTGGGGATACCCTGGTCCACAGGGGGGACGTTCTGGATGGTATATACTTCATCTCCAGGGGCTCTATAGAAATCCTCAAAGATGATATAGTTATGGCTATATTAGGTATGAGTTGTAGAGTGAAATAAATCTTTGAAATGAAATCAACTTATTTTTCTGACTCCTGTTTTATAAAGAAATAATTCTGTGTATGGATGCAAATCAAAAACAAAAAAAAGGAAGATTTTCAAGATAAAGAAAATTAAAACAAGAATTCACAAAACTTTAACATGCCTTGCCACTGCTGCAACCTATGTTTAGAATTTTATTTTAATGCATTATAATATTAAAATTATACTGAAATATAAATTATTTTTTCAGGTAAAGATGATGTTTTTGGGGAAGATGTTTGTGCCCACTCTTTAGCAGGGAAGTCAAGTTGTAATGTCCGTGCCCTTACTTACTGTGATCTACACAAAATAATGAGAGAAGACATCTTGGAAATTCTAGAAATGTATCCAGAGTTTGGTCATACATTTTCCAAAAATCTCCAGATAACCTTTAACCTCAGAGATGTAAGTGCGACAGTGCAGAGTTTTATTGTTTGTTTGTTTGTTATTATGATTGTTTTCGCTTGTTTGTGTTAAATGTTTTTTTCAGTAAAGACACACCTGACTTTGGTCTTTGAATACTATTTGTTGATGATAAAAAAGATTTTAGCACTGTAACAATTATTTCTACTCTCCTTGAATATCCAATAAATTTTCATGATATGTGTAATTGCAGTTTAAGAAAAAGAGAAAAAGGCATTGTGCATATTTTAAATGTCATTTCTGATTGTAGGATGCGCTAGGTTTGTCATCACCAGAGGACAATGATGACCGCATGAGTTTCTACACCGAGGTGGATGCGGGCGGAGACCTTCCCAAAGCCACCGACCACCTTAGCCATCTGAAAAAGAGGCCTTCCACTGTTTCTCAACTATCTCAGTCCCATTCACAATCAAATCGTCAATTAACAGGTATGTATTAGAAGGTATCTCGTAATCACTGTGTTGATATTGATGTAACAAATCCAGTATATACTGACAAAGGCAGAAAATCCGGAAACTTGGGCATTTTTATCCCTTTTTGTTTTTTGATCAATTATGAAGATAAAAGCATTTTGTCTTTGAGTGTATTTACAGTGGGCTAGTTGAATGTAAATGGGAATTAGTGCTAAATTATCGAAAAAGAGATAAATTCTCAAACTGGCACTGGGTATGCCCATATGTTGGATTGCAGAGTTTTTAATCTAATTGTAAGTAATTTGGTTGTTTAATGCTTATATTTACATCTAAACCAATCCAGTATTTTGTCAGATTTTTATTTTTGATAAATAGGAAATCGCTGAGGAAAGACTAATTAAATAAATTTTGATAATGTAGTAGAGGATAATTAACATTTTTAAAGATGAGGACTGATAAGGATGAAATTGTAATTGCTTATTGATTTCTCTTGCAAGATTCTTACAGTAACTGTAGTTCATCTAGTATAGAGGAATTTAGTGCCGAGGAATTTGAGTCTGATGATTCTAATACTAAAGGCAGGTTTGGTGGTGTAATTGTTTATTACTTTTTTTTCTCAAAATATTTCTCTCAGAATTTCATCACGCACAGTAATTTATAGCAAAATTGGTGGAATTTTTTTGTAGAAAAGCAACACTACTTTTGAAGTATCAATTTTTTACATATTGTTTCCCTTTGTTTAGTTTGATAATTTGTCTGGAGTTAATATTTTAATTATTTTCTATTGTAGCACCCTTTAACACTACTTTTAACTTAAAAAAACAAAAATTCATGTCAAGTATTTTCACACCTTTTACTGAATAATGAGAATTTACTTTTGTAGCCATGAACACCTGCATGGCCATCTTTATGAATTATTTCAAATGTTTCTCACAGTGAATATTATATTTTAACAGGGATGAAATTTTTCTATCTGTTGATTTGTGACTATTTGGGAGCCAAATAAATCATTGGCCTAGGTGACCGCCCCCTTACCAGACCCCATGCCATATTTTCTGTCTTTTCACTAAACGACATTCTTATCCCTGATTTAAGATATGGTCAATTTGAAATACATATAGATATATATAATTTGCCTTTATAAGTAAACTTAATATGTTAGGCCCCATTTCCATAAAGACACCAGATGTCTATATGGAACAACCCAAATCTGGCTCTCACTAACTGCAGTCAGTTAAACTGAATGGAATGCCTCCCCTTGGCGTTAAGTTTAAATCAGAAAAACTGATGATTATATAGGAGTACATGGGAAACAAGGGAAGGTGTTTCCTTCCGTAAAGCTGATTGCACTTAACGAGTCACAACAGATGTGGGTTGATCCACCAATGGTGTGTATGGGAATGGGGTCTTCAATAATCTTTAAAGTTCTATGCACATCTCTTTATAAGTTAATTAAGCTTATTGATATTGTATTGCAGATCTTGTATTGTTATATTCACTAATTATTGGGCATTTGTTTACAATGAAAATTATTCTATAATGATTTTAGGAATTTACTTGAAAATATGATTTAAGAATTATTTGAGAACAGAGATATCATTTTTGATGTGGAGAACATTTTGTTAAAGAATTGATTTACCGTGTACATGAATTTGAGTGGGGGAATATAAGTATGATGTGACCATTTATTGTAGCTATTATCAGAACTCTCTTCCTTGAAAACACACACAGTTAGAATGAGAGAGAGAGATTTGAAAAAAATATAATCAGGAATTGCAATTTAGCATTTCGGTCATATTGCAGATGCTTTTATTCACTTTTTTTAATTAAAATTGTCAAAATAACTTGTTTTAGTTAGAAGTATAGATATCAGGCTGGCTTTAAAAAGATTTACTTTAGTCATGATGATGATGATGATATTTTGAAATAATAAATGATTTATTGTTGTCCTACAGGAACCAGGGCTTTGCCTTACCATGGTCCAAAGCACACGGGGAGAGACCGAGGGCACAAAACTGAGCAGAGTCACAGCCTCACACTCACCAGTGACTTTGACGATGATGAAGATGTCATGACGAGAGGAAGTGGTGTCGGCATTCTGGAGTTTTCTCCTGAGAAAGCAGGCATGGATGTGACCCCTGCTAATTTTGATTTTCAAAAAGAGGATCACCACAAAAGAAAACATGGCGCCCACACGGGGCCGCTGAGTTCTATCACAGGTAGGGATTTTTACGGAGCCAATGTGTCATCACACCTACGACAATGTTCTCTTTTATTCATAGCTCAGATTGAAATCGGATAATTATTGGATGGGTATGTAATTATTGGAGAATTACAGTTTGGCAGTAATCCATTAGTAAGTAGTTTTTGGCAATAACCGATAAATTTAGAAAAAAATTGTTCAGTTGCTAGTCATTGTTTTTACTTTAGGCCAGTAGATTATTTTACCCTCAGTCGGCTGAATGGGTTGTAGGTTGAAAATTTTAAAAAATGGCATAGGTTGTAGGTTTATGTTATTAATGTTGTCAATGTGTAATGCTGAATGTTATGAAAAAAGAAAGGAGATCAAGCTTCTCTGCAGTGCCAATAGACATATGAAACAACAGTTGAGCTCTTTTTTTAAAGATGATTACAAACATATTAGTTTTATTATTTGCTTGTAGAGTGTAGGGATTTGTGGACAGATATGATAATTAAGTTCCTATGTAAGGGTTATATGCCCTGAGACAGTGTGTACAGGCAGTTAAAACAAACAAAAAAGTGAGAGAGAGAGAGAGAGAGAGAGAGAAAAAGAAAAAAATTACCTCAGAATTGAATTAAACTTACCCTTATACCTGTAGATGTATAGTAAAATATATGTATCTGCTTAATGTGCATACATTTGTAGCTGCATAGATGTGCTGTATGTGCGATGAAGAATACCCACAATCCATCTCTGTCTATAGAAGAAAGTTTTTAATTTCATTTTGCGACATATGCAGCCTGCTGACATTCTAAAACACAAATTGTTTTGAAAATGAATAATGTTGCTTGGTTGCCAACAGAATACTGTTACCTCTGAGCAGGCATAGCCTATTGTTGAATAATTATGAATATCCCAGCTTCTGTATTATCGGCTACGTAGTACAGTGCATGCTGTAATATTTAACAATCAAGTGTACTGTTCAGTAGAGATATTGACAGCCTCATTGCATTGCCATACATGATGTTACATGTAGAAAATCTGAAATGTAAGTGTCAGCCTGATAATATGGCACCTATTAGGTGTATTTGTCATAATGCAATTGCGGTACTTTATGACATAAGTATGAAGTATACAGCTCAGTAATACCATGTACAGATGTGGAATGCACAAGGTAGATGTTGTATGTTATTCCTTATATATATATATATATATATATATATATATATATATATATATATATATATATATATATATATATATATATATATATATATATATATTTTTTTTTTTAATGAATGTGCTTGTGATGATAAATATTTCAGCTCTCAACAAGGCATTGCAAGCTTTTTTTTTCATCTTATATAATTTGCAGTTATCTGTCAGTTATGAATGGGAAGTTTGTTTTGAAAATGTCTTCCAGTTTATAAGAAGTAAAAAAAAATCCATAGATTAAGAACTTGCTGGACAATTTAGGGAAATTTGCGTTTGGGAACAAAAAAAAAAAAAAAAGAAAGAAATACCATGGAACCAGGAGGAATGGGGTTTTCCTCTTTTATATATTTTTATATTATTCTCTTGGTCAACTTTAAAATTGAATATGCCCAGTTATAGGTACTGAATATAACAAAAGTTACAGCAAAACAGTTATCAGTAGATTGTATTAGATTAATTTATGTGCATAATATATGGTTTTAGTGTTACATACAAACTGTTTGATATTTGCTGAGGGATGCATTCCTGTATATAGATATTCACAATAACAGGAACAGAACTAGTCTTGTAGATTTAATTTCAGCTTTGAGAAAGTATCACCCATGCAGGAATTTCAATTGAATACTTAATGAATGCCTATGTACCTTTTACTAACTGCATGGATTTTTTTTTCTGTTTTTAATACTAGTAGTGTATCTTGTTTTGAAATCACATCTTTATATTTTGTCATGAACTTTATGGCATGCGTTACTGTATGATTATTTATTGTGTTGCATTTTTGATGTTTATTTTGTTTTATTTACAGCACTGTGAGTTTCAGCATCTTTGATCCTTATTTCAGGCAAGCTACGTCGCAGTATCACTGATTTACGCGCAGGTGGCGGCAAACATGGCGGCCATTATTCTGTGTTCGGTATGTGTGTCTTTGATTTAATATCAGTTGGCATATATTGACCAGGTTGTTGAGTTTCTATCAGTCAGATCTTCACTGCTGTCCTGTTTCTTTAAGATTTGTTCAAGTAAGTCTTGTGGTTTTGTTTGGTTTGTCTCTTTTTGGTATCAATTTTATGTCCTACATTCAGTTATGAATTTTATTGAAAATCACTACATTCATACTTGATTAACAAAGCAATTTTAGTAGTAACATTTCAAAGGTGGGTATATTTGATCATTTTGTCAGTTTGAATACAACTAATAAACATTATTGCATTTTCAACTTATGTTGATTATGAAGAAAAGTCTTATGCAATATGCTGCTGCAATCACCCCCCCCCCCAAAAAAAAAAATGCAGTTGACAAACAACGTGTACTGAATTAATTTTTACTTTTAATAATGGTTTATATACCTGACAACATATGCACTGCAGACATTATCTGAAAGTATACATTTGCTGAAATGATAATGTTGAATATCGCATATATACATGTGAAAATCTACATGGGATGTTACAATGCAAGGTTTGAGAGGGTTTATATATTTTAAATTATTATTAAATCATTGACCATTATCATTGCTAATTAATTGATTATAACATAATAACTTAATTAATTAGCTTATTATATTAATTATTTGATAAGTTAAAATGAATAATTTAGTTAAAAGTAATTAATTTAAATTAGATAAATTAGCGATTTTATTAATTGACAAGTGATTTGATTCACAATTTTAATTAGAAATCCTAATCAATTCCAAAGTGCATGGATTAATTGTTTTAATTGGAGCTGTATTGTTTTTCACTAACAGGAATGTGATAAAACAGAAAAAAAGCCAGTAGATGAAAAAATATCAAAAAAGATTTGATTGTTTGTAGTGTTGTCGTGAGTGAATATTAAAAATAGAATTTGATGAAATGGTAGTTACTATTAGTATTTCCATCACTAATAGCATGAGTTGCACATCTTTGAATTTGCACAATTAAAGTCCACTTGTTTATCAGCATTACGTATCTAGACTATTAAACATCAGTATTCTGCAAAAAAGCAACAAAAATTTATAGTGCTTTGTAAACTCCCTTGTAATTAGCAGATAAATAGATTTGGAAGTCATGTTACAGACAAAGGAATGCCAACAAAGGAGTTGATAAAACATCTACTAGTACATTATGAATATGTGTATAGAGTTACCAATACCTGAATGCACACTAAAACAGAACGCAAATAAGGAAAGATGTATAAATGTATGATTTTAGATGAATTTGGTTAAAATATTTATTTATTTATTTATTTATTTATTTATTTATTTATTTATTTGATATTTTAGCCAAATTAGAAAGCTTTACATTAGGCTACAATTTGATTATGCTGGATTGAGCCTGATAACATTTTGATAATTTAAAAGCATCAGAAGCCAGTTTTTTTTTTTACTGAAGAATAACATGGGGAATTTACAGATTGGGTCAGGCAATATGCTTGCCTCATTCTAGGTATCTTGGGTATATATTACTAGTTAGCCGCGGTTTACTTAGTTAGTACTTACAAATTAAGAGAAAAATATATGATTACAATATATTTTTGACACATTATCAAATGCAGGTGCTTTGTCCGGGGTCAACAATCTGATGCAAGGTGTCACCACTGGCAAGAGTTTCCAAGATGAGCCAGAGTCTACACCACTGTTGGGCACCACAGAGGCCAGAGATACTAGAGAGAATAGTCCACAGAGAGAACAGAGCCCTCAGGTAAACTTTTCAATCAGATGAGAGAATATGACACAATCTCTCTGATTTCAGCATTTTTTTTTTGGGGGGGGGGGGGGGATGATGACAACCTATTGTTATGTTTGATTACTCAGACATACTAGCAGAGGAAGACGTAATGTAAAAGAATGTACCATTATTCCACTATGTGTACCATGTACCTTAAGTCCAAAACACAAGTGGTAGAGACCTTGGTGAAACTGTGACAAATCTGAATTATGTCACAGTTTCAGTACTGAAATACTGTCAGGTTTTCAATACTGTAAAATGAAATTTTCCATTTCTTCAGCAGCCTCCAACAACCTCTAGCTCCAGTGCTGCCTGCAAGTCAACGTCCAGCATGACCATACCTGTGTCCAGCCCCTCAAGCCAATCACAGTTTGACGATGCCACCCAGGTGCCACGCCCACAGATTGTCATTGACCGCTACGCCTCGCGAGATGACATGGGCGGGAATGTGGCCGTTGAGTCGAGACTAGATGACCTGTCAAGGTACAGAGTTTGTGATTGGCTGTTGTTACATGTATATGATCATTGTTCATTAACTCTGAAAGATGCAGTTTTTTAATATGTAAATTCTCTTTTAAGTCGTTTTTAAAAGTCTTTTTTTTGAAACTATGAAAAAGTGTATTTATAGATAATTTATTTAAGTTGTTGTAAGATGATGAAAACAAGGTTAAATTCAGAGTGGACACTCATCACTAGTGCCTTATTCTTGCTCCTACTCTTATCATACAGGCAGTTAACCAGGCTAGAGGGAAAGATGGCAGCGGACATTTCCATGATTCTAGACATACTAAGGAGCCAGAGTGCTTCAGGGATTATCTCTGCTCCCCCTGGTTACCCAGAATATATTACAGACAGTTCCAACACAGGTCAAGGTTCTGACCCTCCTGCCTCTCAAGGTCACCCGGGATATCTTACAGACAGTTCCAAAAGTACAGAACAGTCCCAGAAATCTGGTGCTGGTGATATTAAAAGTGCAACTGACTTAGATTATACTGTAGATCAAGGACACTCAAGGATGCAAACGCACGGAGGTCAAGGTCATGCATCTCAAGGTCATATAAGTTCTTTGTCTTCAGATGAGCATTTAGATAGTGATAGTCATTCAAATGTTCAAGGTCAAGGTCAGGATCTACTAGATAACAGTGCAATACAAGGGACCAGTGCTCTTAGTGCCGGAAGTTTAGAAAAGAAGCAGACAGGAAGCTCTGACGAAAGCAAAACACCGGTATGTTTCTTTTGTGCTTACCCTCATTCAATTAAGCTTTGTACATTGACCATTTCATAAGCTGTATTAAAAAGTTTCACTGGTCTTGCTGTTTATGATATTTCAAGCAAGACAGAATCTAGACATATGGATTGCAAGTTGCTTTGAAGGTTGCCATGGCCTCTGTTTGCAAAATGTTGAAAGGTTGAGATTAAAGTGAGAAACATTAATTCTATGACTTAAAACCTCCTTGGCTGTGCTGTAGGTGACAGTTCAAATGGTATTATTCTTTAATGTCACTAATAAATGAATATGCATCATGCAGATCGATTTCATATGTATTTATATACTATAGATTAAAATATATATTAATATATGTTTTTTTAATCTTCAGATCGATTTACTGGCAGGTGTTTCAGAGGTAGCAGCACCCCAACCTTACCAGCATGTGACAGGTTCTTCACCAACATCTCCATCAGATTCTCAATCAGTCATCAGTTCAGACATTCCAACCCCCTTGGGTCAGGAGGACAGTCTAGAGGAAGACAGGGATGGTACTTTTAAACCCAGGAGACAGAAATCGACATAAGGATTTGTGTGTGTTGTGGAAATGGCTCCACTGCTCCCAAGATTGTAAGGTATACTTGAGGACACAGAGCTCACTTTGGCTATGGTGTTTATGTGCCTATTGGGAGTTGAAGAGCCAGTGGTTTTTACAGGGATTGGCATCCAACATATTTGAGGCACCATCAGGATGGACTTTCAGGGATGACTGGACCCAGCTTAGTTTGATTAGCCATTGACATTGAGAGGGTGCCCCCAAGGGCTGAAATACATTCAAGGAGGGGTGATGGCTGATTAGGCCTGTGTATGTTGAAAAGAAGACTGGCAGCTTGCTTGTGCCTGACTGTCACTAAATTATATAAGAGCGAGTTCTGATTTGAGGAAATGACATGGCAAGGAGAACATGGAACTTGTTCAGGATGTACAAGAATTATGTCTGAATTTTCTTAAAGGCGGATGATTGGAAATTTCTAGAAAGGTGATCTTGTTATTAAATTTAGAGACAAAATGAATGAAGGAGACAGTGTAGAAGCTGTGTAGACCTTGTTTGGAATGTTTCAGAAGGCAGCCAGATTGTTTTTGAAGGGCAATTTTTGGAACGTAAATGGGAAGCAGGTTTGATTGATTTGTATGGTTCTCAAATGACTGTCATCCTTGAACAACCATTGACTGGAATTGAAGAATGGAAGTGCATTTTAGTCAGCTAAGTCTTAGTAGGCTAAAATGTTTCCCCCAAGAAAACAAACTTTTTGCTAAAGAAGCTCCTGAAGGGAAAATTGAGAAACAATGCCACATTTTAAGAAATTAAAGGAAGCGAGTGTGATTTTAAGGGACTGCAGATAATATGCAAGTGCTTGTTATGATCCACTGCAAAAAATTGATAAATGAATGCAGTTGGACCTTTTGATAATCGGATTTTATGTGATAGACTTACTCTGCTATTTGTATTTTGTACCACGTCAGAGGAAATTATGGAAGATACATACCCCAAGGCAAAGATAATTGATCAGACCAGCACTCCCCAAAATTATTATCTTTGAAGTACCTGATGGTAAAATTCAGAACGATCTTGAGGATCATCTTGGTTACATGTCAGATGGAACAAGTTTGTGAGGAACTTTGAAGTGACAAATCTTCAGAAAGTATACTGGAATAGATGAGATGGTTAAAATTTGTAATCTTTACCATCCTCAATCCATGGCAAGATCAGTCTTAGGAAAGTATTTCTTGGGGCTTTTCTTCTTTTATTTATTTGCTTACTGAAATATGTGGGCCTTAAAATGCCAAAATTATTCTAGAGTCAGGAGGAAGGAGCAGTCTTTTTTGTATGACATGATCCTTGATCAGATCTGGTTCAAGCTTGTAAAGCAGTCAGCTTTGACTAAGACTATGGAATTAGGCCTTTGCGAAGATTGTTTCCCAATATAGTTATTATATGAATGTATAATAATTTGTAACATATGTACATAACCTGTGTATATGTATATATATACATATTTCTGGTAGGCTGTGCCATATACTTTGTATGTATATAAATGTATTACATATTGCCTATTATATATACCAAGGGCTATTAGCAAGGTGCTGTAAATGCAAAACCTGCCAATTTGAAACTTATTGACAGGTTTGTATGTGTGACGCACTGTTAAAAAGACTTTTTTCATGGTTTGATAAAAAAGTAGAAGCTAAGTGTGTGTGTTCTGCTTGTGAAGTGTGGAGGTAGTTCCTGTGAATTAGAAAAATGCACCATAGAGGTTTGAGGATATAGTTCAAGTATATTGGACATTGTGTATTGTATTATTTTCCTTTATTTGGAAAACATTTTTAGACATGTAGGAAAAGTCAGGAAAATTAGCACATGCAGAAATGGTTTAAACAAAATGAGGCTTTTTTTAAGATAAAAAAGTAATACTTTCAACTAAGAGCACATTATTTTGCTGCACAAGGTAACATAGACATAAAGCACAAAATCTTGGGAAACCAAACAGTTTGTTGAGTGTATGAAAGGAAGATGATCTGTTTGCTTGTTCTACCCCCCCCCCCCCAACCCTTACCTCATCTCTTCTACTGGTCTATACCAACAGTAACTATTAAATAGAAAACAGCTTTCATAATATGGGAGTTATTATCTGTGGCCCCAGCATTTAAACATCCCAGATACCAATTTTATTAGGTATGAGCACAACAGATGTCTCCTTATTAAATATGGATAAAGACATTCCATGTAATAGTTTAGAAGCACGTTTGTGGTTAAAAATATAAAATGTGTTCCCTTTAGATATTAAGTAATACCTCATTGCAAGTGGATGAAGTTAACGAAACAAATAGTAGAGTGATTCACAAAATATGTTATGATCATAATTTTACATTTGGATTGGTTAAGAGATGAACTGTGCCACAAACAGATTGGCTTTTTCAATTCTTTTTCTGCAATATTTTACTGAAGTACAACTAATTAAAATCTAAAGGAAAATTGGTCAATCACTGACTCAGACCTATATGTCTCCTGTTGATATCAGATACTGTATATTTGGAGGATTTTGTCATTTTTGAAGTATAAATAAGGAAGTATTTCTGCAAGAATTATAGACATAGGAAAAACGACTATGGGACATTTTCAAGTGCGGATAGTATATTATCTTTAATGCATGAAATTTGAATTTATTGGGCTGTTTTCTGTGGCCGGCAGTGTACTGAAAACTTTGTTAAAAATTTTAGTGAAGTGGTGAATACCATATTCTGGGTAAAGAAAAAATGTGGCATTGGAGTTCTGAAATACAGGGAACCAGTACTAAAAGACTGAATATTAGTTTTACTATTTTATTTTTTAAGAGTTATGTGATGTCATATTGTTAGAAAAGTGATGTATGTGTCTCATGATGTGAAATTTTAAGCAGGGTAATTGTACCACCAGCGTTAGCGCTGGCGGTACACATGGTTTCGGTCCCGTCCGGATCGTTCCGCCGGCTCCGCCGGCTCCGCCGGACGGCTACCGTTACCGCTTCTCCTCCTAGACGGTAAGGGCCCCCGTACCCATCTCATGGATTTAGGTCACCTATAATCTCAACTCGTTCCACGTAAAATTTGGGCTTTGTCGGTATTGGGGTCTGGGTGTGGCACTCATTACAATGCACCCTTGTCTAAAAATGGCAAAATTAAATGCTAATTATCTACCCTACGGAAGGAGTTATGGGAAAAATTTCTATAGACGGCTTTCCAAAAGTCATATGTGTAGATTTCAAATATACCCTTGGATTTGACCTTTGACCT